TTCCCAAGTCCTAAGCAATCACTAATCTACTCTCTATCTCTATGGATTTGCCTATTCAGGACATTTCATTAAAATGGGATCATATAATATTTGGCCTTTTATGACTACCTTCTTTTACTAGAAAAATGTTTTCAAGATTCACTTACGTTGTAACATCAGTCAGTATTTCATTCTTTTTCTGGCTGAAGAATATTCCATAGTATGTACATACCACATTTTGTTTTTCCATTCATCAACTGATGACAGAAATTTGGGTTGTTTCCACCTTTTAGTTATTACAAATTTGCTACTAACAAACATGTCTTATTATATGAAAAAATTTTAATAAAGAATATGATATGAAAAATCATATTGCTACTAAACAGTATGATTTTTGAATGTTTCAATGGATGGCAGAACAAAAACATCTCAAAATGGCAGACAAGTTTTCTTATAATAAAAACATGTTTCAGGGGAGAAAAAAGTTTTATGTCAATAAAATGATGAACTGTATGTGGTATTCGTCTCCTGTTGAAACAGAGGTTTCTTGTGTGAGGAAGAACACTGTCTGAAGGAGAATTTAAGCGCCTTCTCACACACATTTGGTGACTCCACTGCCTATAACCACGCCCCAAGAATGTTTATCATTCTCTTGACTTCTCTACACCCACGAGAACAAAATCAACATTGAAGCATGACCTAATTCTCTTTTTGAGGGATAATAAAAACAGTTTAGCCTGATTACCAAAGACAGAAAATAATTTCAAAATAATCTGTGTAGCATTTAGCACAATATTTACAAAAAGATATAATGCCTTGAAGCTGTCATATAGAAGGAAACTTATTCTTTACAAAATAAAGAACATTTTCCAGAAATAATTATAAATTAGTTTTTATGCTATGGTCCAGACAAGATTTTTATTACTGGCAAAAATGAACAAACAAAACAAAACAAAACAACTGTTAAGTGGATCTCCATGGCAACTTCCTTTTGTAGAGATGAGGGGAAGAGAACATTAGGAATTATTATTATGTTCCTACTCCTTTTTGGCAGGGGCTCTGCTATATATTTTATCTACACAGATTTCCTCATTTAATCCACAGAACAGCCTTATGTAGTAGGTACTATACTTTATTCTCATTTTACAGAGATTAGCTAGCTATGTGCTGAAGAGAGTGTGCATGTTCTGTGTGAGCAAAGAACTAAGAGTCTCCTGGTCTTTGCTGGGACTCTGTGTCTCTGTGTATGTTGGGGTACTGGGACATGCAGTTACAACTTTTACTTCTTGCTTATGCAGAGCCCAATGTGTGGATTGAAGACCTTCCCAGGTCTTTCCTGAGCATGCACACTCAAGACTTTGCTCACACAGAACACACACCTACAATCCAGGTACAGTCTTCCATATCCCTCTCCATTCACAGCCACTATTCCTAAAAACTAATTCCACTATTGCTGCCACTTCCTCGCTTCTAATTCTTTTTGAATCCCATGTGCTTCCATGCAAAACATTCCCTTTAAACTGTGTCAGAATTTATAATGACTTTGTAACAGTCAAATCCAAATCCAAAGGATGTTCTTTACTATCTCTCTAGCCTTTCTGACTTCTTACTTCTCAAACATTCTCTTCCTTGGTTAACTGACCTTTTTCTTTATTCTTAAATGGCTCCTCTTCTCCAACTACACCTTTAATTCTTTAATGTCCACCAAAACCTAGGGGTTTATCCTTGATCTTTGTGCTAGACCCATTGGTTCTTTTCTATAATTTCTATTTATTAATATTCCCTATTTTGATGAAATATTTTCATACTTTTCTTTAGTTCTCTATATACAGTCCCCTTGGATTCTTAAAATAGTTAAAGTCTTGATTAATAAAGTCTTGATTAATAAATTCAATATTTTGGCTTCCTCAGGAATAGTTTCTATTTGTATGGGCCATGCTTTCTTGTTTCTTTCATATCTCATGATTTTTGTTGAAAAATGACTTTAAGTAATATAGCTATTCCAAAAATCAGATTCTCCCCCTTTCCCACAGTTTGTTAATTGTTTTTAGTGACTTTTCAATACTAATTCTTTAAAATCTAGATTTTTTGTCAGATACAACCACTGAATTTTCTTACTGATTGAGTAGAGATTTCCTCAAATTCCTGGTACTAAGAGTCTCCTGGTCTTTGCTGGGACTCTGTGTCTCTGTGTGTGTTGGGGTACTGGGCCATGCAGTTACAATTCCACCTTAGCCTTTTACTTCTTGCTTATGCAGAGCTCAATGTGTGAATTGAAGACCTTCCCAGGTCTTTCCTGAGCATGCACCCAGTCTTTTATATTCCTAAGTCTATGTTGGATTCTTTTCAAGGTCTCTATGGCTATTTAATTCCTCAACTTTTCCATTTAATTTTTTGGGTTAGTCTGTTGTTTGCCCCAATTGACACTCCAGAGAGCTACACTATTAAAAAGTTGTTGCTGACTGGTCTTAGCAAATGCTTCTGGAGAAAATATTCTCTATGCTGGGTGAGTGTTCATTCAGGTAAAATACAGATAAACTTTTCAAGGGGGGGTTTCCAGGAAATTGACAGGATAATGACAGTTCTCAAAGGATAGGGCTTTAAAAGAGCTTCAGCTCCATTTGGACTCCTCTAGGGCTGATGAGGCTGTTTAATTTATACCATAATTGCAAGCTGTTGGTTTCCAAGACTACCATGGAGAAGAGGGTGGTATTTTTAGTGGCATGTCCACTAAAACCTTGATTTTTGTGCTGATGAAAATGCCATGAAGCTTGCTGTTCTTACAGAGATTCAGTTCTTTGTTGTTTTAAATACATATTCCTAAGGTTATAGAATTAAATCTGGTAAATTTCCAAAGTTATCAGCAAAATTGATCAGGATAATTTATGTCAGAGTTGTTGGCACTTTTATTTTTTTAATTTTTTTAAGACAGAGAATTTTTTAATATTTATTTTTCAGTTTTTGGTGGACACAACATCTTTATTTTATTTTTATGTGGTGCTGAGGATCGAACCCAGCGCCCTGCACATGCCAGGCGAGCGCGTTACCTCTTGAGCCACATCCCCAGCCCCTGTTGGCACTTTTAGAAAGGAGAGAATTTTCCAATATTGTCATTTTTGCTACTCTCAGTTAAAACATTCATTCCCCTCATTTCTAGACTTCTTTGAAAAATATCAGATTGTTTGAACCAGTAACTGTAGTAGTACACTATGGGAATTATCATATATGAAAAGTAAGTGTATGACAATAATAACATGAAGAATAGAAGGAGTAAATAGAAATAAGCTATTGAAAAAGTCTTTTTTAAAAAAATCAAGGGAGAGAAATGAATTACAGTAGATGGGGTAGAGAGAGAAGATGGGAGGGGAGGGGAGGGGGGAAAGTAGAGGATAGGAAAGGTAACAGAATACAACAGTCACTAGTATGGCAATATGTAAAAATGTGGATGTGTAACCGATGTGATTCTGCAATCTGTATATGAGGTAAAAATGGGAGTTCATAACCCACTTGAATCAAATGTATGAAATATGATATGTCAAGAGCTTTGTAATGTTTTGAACAACCAATAAAAATGTCTTTTTAAAAAAATATTTATTTTTAATTGTAGTTGGACACAATACCTTTATTTTATTTAATTATTTTTATGTGGTGCTGAGGCTTGAACCCAGGGCCTTGCGCATGCTAGGCAAGCACTCTACTGCTGAGCCACAACCCCAGCCCGAAAAAGTCTTATATTAAACGTGAGGTGGTTTGACACTACGTGAAGGTAGACGGAGGTAAGTTAAAGATGTATGCTGCATATCCTTGAATTATAAAAAAGAAATTAAAGAACTAATGCAATATAAAAGAGAAAATGAAATACTAAAAATCATCAATTGATCTTTAAAATGGTATTAAGAAAAAGAATCAGGGCTGGGGTTGTAGCTCAATTGGTACAGCATTTGTCTAGCAAGTGTGGGGTAGTGGGTTTCATCTTCAGCACCACATAAAAAATAAATAAATAAAATAAAGTTATTGTGTCTGTCTACAACTTAAAAAAATATTTTTAAAAAAGAGGGGCTGGGCTTGTGGCTCAGTGGTAGAACGCTCATCTCTCATGTGTGAAACACTGGGTTCAATCTTCAGTACCAAATAAATATAAATAAATAAAAACAAAAGTATTGTGTCCATCTACAACTAAAATATATTTTAAAAAAGAATCAAAGAAGACACAAGACAAAAATAAAACAAATAGCAAGGTGCCACATCATATTGGAACTTTCTGTGTGTTTGAAAACATATCCTTCTGTTTCTTTCATATATTTTTTTCTACTAGGTTATGAGTTTACTAAATTTGAATGATAAACAGACATAAAACAAGGTTATTTACTTTAAGAAATGCACTGTACATTTTAAATTCTCTAATTTGGAATCTGTAAGAATTTATAAAATTTTACTAAACTAATCAATTAATATAATGAGATGATATGAAAAAACATAAGATTATGTTATTGCTAAAAGTTATTTTAGAAACTTCATTACACAAATTTGTCATTTTACAATTAAGAAACTAAGAGTCAAAGTGATTAATTGCCAATTGATAAAAAACAATCATATGGCCAATCAGAAGTAGAACTGTTGTAAAATACCTATTTCATAATTTCAAGTCCAGTTGTCTCAAGAGAAAATTTCCATGCAATGCCAACAATGTATACAGCATAAATAAATGTGCTCATTTGAATTGATTGTTGTCTAACAGGTCCAGCAAGATCTCTACTAGTTAAGTTCTATACATATCTGAAAATGATTAAACTTTTAAAAATAGATATTGTTAATTTTAGAGTTTTAATTAATTCCAATTCTTATTGATTAATCAATATTACGGAAGTGTGCAGCAGATAAAGAAATATCAAAAATACCATAGCTAAAAAATCAAAGTTCAGCCTATCAAGCTCAGAGAATACAAACTTACATTCAACTCAAGGAAAACCACATTTATGGTAAAAATAACAAACACTTATGAAATTTGTGTGCAGTATTACCTGTAGCTCCCAGTGGATGTCCTTTTGAAATCAATCCACCACTAGGATTTATGACCCACTTTCCTCCATAAGTGTTATCTCCTCTATCGACCAGTATTCCACCTTTCCCTATGAAAGGAAAAATTATAATCACAAACGTTAAAAATAACACTGGAACAAATGGCATGGATTTTTAAATAAATATCCACATAGCCAAAAATTTCTTAGACCTAGCATGACTTAATAATTTAACAACAATTTGGTAGGAACACTTCTAAAAGTTAAGTAATAAATATTGAGCAATAAAGGCTTATCTTTTCAGAACATGTCCTGCATGAAATAAAGCTCCTATTAGTTCCTAAGAGCTCTCTGGCTTCCAAAATTGTTCCAAATATAAAAAAGATTCAAAAAAACAGAAGAAAAGTACTGAAATGGATATAAATACTATATGATATTACAACTAAAATAATTATAACAACTTTAAAGTTCATGTTTTCATTTCTTTCTGTTTTCAATTGTACTGCTGTGTGCTAGATAAACATTTTTAATAAAAGGAAAAACAAGAAAAAAAAAGCCCTCTTATGAAACTAAGGGAAATGGCTAAAAACACGTTGAGCCACAAAAGTAATGCTGAAAAAAATCACTTCTTATTTTTGGTGGCTTCAAAATTCCTGTCAATTTCCTGCTCACTGTTTCAAGTGGTTAAGAAGCAAATCAAAACGCATACATTGTATAAAATATTATTTCAAATGATATTTCTGACAAAGTAAGGAGAAATGGGCACTCCAAAAGATGATCGTAATAGCAATGGTGGTACTGTGTGAAGTAACTCAAAATCTCCTTGGGGCATTCACTGTGTCAGGTCTTGTTCTAATTATTTTCCACATATCTTTACAATTTAATCCTCAATCCTTCATAGAACCTATGAAGTAGGTACTATCATTTTCATTTTCCAAATGAGGAAACAGTCAACGTAAGAACAGACAGGAAAAAAAAGGCATATCTCTACTGGTAAAATAAAGTATACCAATCACAGAATTCAAATGACCAATACTTTTAAACTGCTTCTAAGTCTAGATTATAGATTTTTAAATCCCATAGAGTCTGGGAGTGTAGTTCAGGGTAGAGCAGTTGCCTCTCATGCTTAGGTACTCTTTCTCTTGATATGTTTCTGACTTAGAACCTGCTACAAGGCCCAAGTCATCATAGACATTCTAATTCTGTTATTGCTATTTTCACAACTGTTAATGTTGTTACTGTACCAAGTCAGGGCAGACTAAATAAAACCTAACCTCAAGAAATAAAAATTTTACTACATGTTTTTTCCAAAATATATACAAACCTGCAAAACAATAAAAGATTGTTAAAAGATTTTAAAATATTGACTTGAACTCAACAACTAAAAGATAAAGTACTGTAAAAGACCACTCTGACCTACCATGGAAAGAGGAAAATATGTGCACACTTTTGGAAAATAATTATTACGACTATTATGTGCCAAAAGTAACATGGGAACGAATGGATACAATGTGACCAAAACAGACAAAAATATGTGCTCTCATGGAATTTAATTCATGATAGGCGAGGAGTGAAGAAAAGAGAGACAATGTGTAAAATAATAATACATAGAGTGACTGAAGTGCCATAGAAAAAAAGAGGCAGGAGGGGCTGGGGTTGTGGCTCAGTAGTAGAGCGCTCGACTAGCAAGGGCGAGCCCCTGGGTTCAATCCTCAGCACCACATAAAAATAAGTAAATAAAATAAAGGCATCCATGTACCCATAAAAAACAAATACTAAAAAAAAAAAAAAAAAGAGGCAGGAAAGGGAACTTAGGAAGTGCTGGGACTGGGATGAAGGGACTGAGGGAACAAATCATAGGGTATCTGGAACAAAGGCCTGAAGAAAGGAAGGAGTCCAGAGCACTTGAAGGAGACTGACATAGCAGCAGGAGAGTAGAATCAGAGAGAAGTAGAAGAGGTTGGAGAGCTGGGAGTGGGGATTCCAGAGATCACATTTGGCTCATGCATCAGGGTGAGATAACAAACTACAGGGTTCTGCACAGGGGACCAACACTGACCTACTATACTGGCTTCTGAATAGGGAAGAGACTAAGGAGAGAATGCGGATGCATGGGACTAGCTGGGAGACTACTACAATAATCTGAGTAAGAAACAAAGCTGATGGTGACAAAAAGTGATGAGGTTTGGTCAAACCCTGGATTTATTCTGAAGGGAAAATCCACAGCCAACATGACTTGGAGATAGATTCAGTGGAGGCTGTGAGAGAAAGAAAGGACTCAAAAATGATCCTAAGTTTCCAGTTTGGTTAATTGGAGGATAAGGAAGATTGAGGGAGGAGGAAGTTTAAAAATATCAAGAGTTCAATTCTGAACTTAGGCTTGAGATGCTTATGAGACATCAAAAACAAAAACAAACAAACAAAAACCTTGAAAAATAGGTAGCTGGATACCTAAATCTAGAGCTGCAGGAGGCAGACAGAACTAAGATAATACACTTGAAAGTTGGCATCACATACCGGATGCTTAACCCTGAGACTGGGTTCCAGTTCTGCTATGGCAGCATATGATCCCTTCAGCCCTTTTCTCCCACTGATCACAATTGTAAACACTGGCTAAAATAATAAAACAACTACCTGAGAACTCTGAAAAGTAAACAAAAGCAGAGGGATTACAGGAGGAATAATAGTGGAGAAGCCACTGCACCAGGGTGAGTTCCTAGCTATCGTCCATGAGACTCTTTCTTAACAGCCGTGCCCAGGATGAGCATGGTCCTGGAACAGCATGGTAAGCAAGGGCAACCATGACTCACCAAAGGGAATCAGTCAATGAATCTATATGGTCACTAGATTTCTCCATTTCATGTGAAATGGTGTAATTTTAGCTCAAAGGAGACTATGAAGGTTAAATACACATACTATGACCCTTATAGCAATGGTTCTAACTGGGTTAGATTCTGCCACCAGGAGACATCTGGCAATGTCTAGAAATATTTTTGGTTGTTACAACTGTGGGGGGAGTTGCTACTGGCATTTAGTGGCTAAGAGGCCAAGAATACTGCTGAATACCCTAAAATGCACAAGCCAAATCACAAGAATAATAGAGCTCAAATGTCAACAGTAATGAGGTTGAGAAAACTTGCCCTATAGCAACTACTGGTTAAAAAAAAAAAATACAAAGAGATATAGCCAAAAATACCAATACAGGAAAATGGAGAACTCTGGAGGAGGAGAACAAAGGAACAGAAAAGACAAACAGAAAACAGAAAATCAAATGGTCTATCTAAATTCAACTGTATCAATAATTACATTATATGCTGAAGGTCTCAAGTTAGCACTGCACAACAGAAATATAATGCAAACAAAACCACATATGTACTTCGTTAACATTTTAAAAATTTGTTTTTCAAAAGACATTATTAATGAAACAAAAGGCAAGCCACAGACTAGGAGAAAATGTTCACAATGTACATTTATCAGACAAATGACTTGGATCCAGTTTTAATTTTTATCTATATCTATAGTTATGAAAACTTTTACAACACAATAAAGACAAATAACCAACAACCAAAGGGCAAAGATTTGAACAAATACTTTATAAAATAAGATACATGAATGACCAGTGAGCATATGGAAAGATGTTCAATATCATTAGTTATCAGAAATATGCAATTAAAACAAAAATAAGATACTACTATATATTCTTTAGCATGACTGAAATTTTAAAAACTGATTATGTCAAATGCTGGCAAGGAAGTAAAACAACTAAAAGTCTAATATACTGCTGGTAGGAAATGAAGACAGAACATTTAGATTCTACCAACATTTTTTTTCATTTTCCTTTGTGCAAATATTTATTCACACATAATTAGAAAAACTTGAAGCATATTATACCATTTAAAAAATTTAACAGTAATTTGGATAACATAAATTATTGACTTGGATAATATAAACTCTTTGTATACTCTGTTATTTCCGTGCTGGTATTGTCTAAGACCACATGTTCTAAAAAGTCCAGTACCAAACCTGCTTATATTCACTCTGCACAGTGCAGTGGTGGAGCCAATGTGGAAACAAAGGTGGATTATTCTGTTTAATGGTGAAAGTGAAGCTTTCTCAGTGAAAGTTAATTAATCTGCCTTCTTCAAAGATACTACCTTCTGGACAGAGTCCCAGTGCTTCATAAGTAAGGAGCTCATTCACAGAAAAGCAATCATGAAGTTCAATTACATCAATATCATTTGGTCTCAGGCCAGATTTCTCATAGCATTTTCTGGCAGCTTCTTTACTCATATCATAGCCAACCTAAAACCAAAATCATGTATAAATAAATTAATGCAACAAACTGGGATTTTTAGGTAAGGAATTTTAACAAATTAATTATGTACCATGCATGGTGGCATGTACCTGTAATCCCAGCAATGTGGGAGACTGAAGCAAGAGAATTGCAAGTTCCAGGCCAGCCTTGGTAATTTAGGGAGGCCCCAAGCAAGTTAGCAAGATCATATCTCAAAATAAAAAAATTTTTTAAAGGGCTGGAAATGTAGCTCAGTGGCAAAGCACCACTGGCTTCAATCTCCAGTTCATCTCCCAAAGAAAAAAAAAGAGAAAGAGAGATTAATTATAAATAATCTTGACAGCTCAGAAAACCACACATATTGAAATCTCAGTTTATTCTACATTACACAAAAAATCCAAATAACCCAGCTACTTGGGAGGACGAGGCAGGAGGATCATGAGTTCGAGGCCAGCCTGGGCAACATAGAACCTGTATATAATAATAATAATAATAATAATAATAATAATAATAATAATAATGTCCAGGAAGGAGAATGTACATACTAAATTTTATACTACAAACTATAAAACTTTAAGTAAGACATGAAAAGGACTTAGAATTCTTAGATCATATTTTATGCTGTTACAAAAACTCTATCAAATCCTAATTATAGTTGTGATAAATCAGTTGAAGAGATTGTCAACACATCATTAGGAGTAACAAATAGTGAAAAATATCAAAGAACTTCTGTATGAAAATACATTATTTTTTAAGATAATATAGGATTCAAACCATTATGCCAAAATCCATGCTCTTAACCTCTCTTTGGTCTCACATAATAAAAGAATATGTAAACTCAAATTTCATCAAGAAATAAAACTGGAATAATATAAACTATACCACAATAGTTTGAATATAATTTCCACCTCTACCACAACCTAACTTTGTGATCCTGGGCAAGTTATCAGGACATTTTCAAGTTCACAGCACTGCTATAAAATCATTTTGTATACTATAATTATCAAATAATTGCTTCTGTGGGAGAAGAGGGAGTTTTCAAATATTCAACTAACTACTAGGTCTAAATTCTTATCTTCTTTATCCATATTGCACAAAATCTTTAATCATGATTTTTGAAATGCTAAGGGTTAAGAAAGTTCTCTGGAGCCAGGCATGGTGGTACACGCCTATAGTTTCAGCTACTTGGGATGCTCAGGCAAAAGTATCACTTGAGCCCAGGAGTTTAAGGCCAGCTTGGGCAATACATTAAGATTACATTTCAGGCTGCAGTTGTGGCTCAGTGGTAGGACATTTGCTTAGCATGTGCAATGCACTGGGTTTGATCTTCAGCACTACATAAAAATAAATAAATAAAATAAACATATTGTGTCCATCTATATCTAAAAAATATTTTAAAATATTACATTTCAAAGCCAGAGAGAGAGAAAAAAAATAATAATAATGGATCACAAGAAAATAGAAGGGAGATGAACAGAGGAGAAGGAAGGGATAAAAGGGAGGGATGAGGGAAGAGCATGGGGAAGTACTGGGGTATGAAATCTATCAAATTTTGCTACATCCATGTATGAACATACTACAATGAATCTTGCTTATATATATAATTAGAAATAATAATAACAATAATAATAGGGGCTAGGGTAGTGGCTCAGAGGCAGAGTGCTTGCCTTGCACATGTGAGGCACTGGGTTCAATCCTCATCACCACATAAAATATATAAATATGTAAAATAAAAGTATTGTGTCCATGTTCAACTAAAAAAATTTAATAATAATAATAATGATGATGATGGAAGGTAGATCAGTAGAGAAAGGAAGCAGATGGACAGGGAGGAGGGGAAGGAAAGGAAAAATACTGGGGAAGGAGACTGATTAAATTATGTTATGTGCATGTACAAATATGGCATAAAGAATCCAAACATTTTGTATAATTATAATGCATCAACAAAATATACTTAGAAATTTTTTTTTAAAGACTACAATTCGGAAAAAGAGAAGAAAAAATCTCTAGAAACCTCCTTGTTTTCCCCATAACGCTGTAAGATCGAAATTCAGTCAACTCAAAACAAATATAAGCAGCACTCCTAGTTAGTTAAAAGTTATCATATTCATGGTTCCATCATAAGAAGCATCTATTCTCGTCAATTGTTTTCTCCCAACAGATCTTTTTTTCCCCGTTTTTCTTTTTGTAGTATTAAGTATTGAAACCAAGGCTCTCTACCCACTGAGCTACATTCTCACCACTTTCATTTTTTATTTTGAGATATTGAATTTCCAGGTTGGACTTGAACTTGCAATCGCCTTGCCTCATTCTCCTTAGTAGCTGGAATTACAGGCACATGCCACCACACTCAACTTCTTAACAGAATCTTAAGAATGGGTTAAAGATCTTTCAATTGTGTTCGCAGCCGCCCGCCACCGCTCTCTAACGCCAGTGCAGTCTCCAGCTCACTGAGCTCCAGCTGAAGCAGAAGGGGGTAAGTAAGGAGGTCTCTGTATCACGGCTCATACAAAGCCCACTGCCTGCAAATCTACGGTGGTAAAGCACCCAGGAAACAACTGGCTACAAAAGCCGCGCCCAAGAGTGCGCCCTCTACTGGAGAGGTGAAGAAACCTCATCGTTACAGGCCTGGTACCGTGGCACTCCTGAAATTAGACGTTATCAGAAGTCCACTGAAATTCTGATTCGCAAACTCCCCTTCCAGTGTGTGGTGCGAGAAATTGCTCAGGACTTCAAAACAGCTCTGCGCTTCCAGAGCGCAGCTACTGGTGCTTTGCAGGAAGCGAGTGGACCTTTTTGAAGATACCAACCTGTGAGCTAACCATGCCAAACGTGTAACAATTATGCCAAAAGACATCCAACTAGCACGCCGCCTATGTGGAGAACGTGCTTAAGAATTCACTATGATGGGCTGGGGATGTGGCTCAAGCAGTAGCGCTCGCCTGACATGCACAGGGCTCTGGGTTCGATCCTCAGCACCACATAAAACAAAATAAAGATGTTGTGTCCACCAAAAACTAAAAAGTAAATATTAAAAAAAAATTCTCTCTTTTAAAAAAAAAATTCACTATGATGGGAAACATTTCATTCTCAAAATTTTTTTTCTCTTCTCCCTGTTATTGGTAGTTCTGAACGTTATATTTTTTCTCCCATGGAGTCAAAAGATACTAAGTATATGATTGCAAGTGGAAAAATAGGGAACAGAAATCAAGAATTGGCCGTTTTTCCATTTTCATTTGTGTGTGAATTTTTAATATAAATGCGGGGATGTAAAGCATTAATGCAAGTCAAAAATGTTTCAGTGAACAAGTTTCAGCAGTTCAACTTTATAATAATTATAAATAAAACTGTTAAATTTTTCTGGACAATGCCAGCATTTGGATTTTTATAAACAAGTAAATTTCTTATTGATGGCAATTAAATGGTGTTTGTAGCATTTTTATCATATAGTTAGAGTCCATCCATTCACTGTACTTTCCTAACTGAGTTGTCCTACATGCACGTACATGTTTTTAACGTTGACTGTCTTCTGTGCTGTTCCTGTAAGTTTCCTATTAAAGTACATTAAACTATACATAAAAAAAGAATGGATTATAATATCTGGTTTCAGTGGTAAACCCCTGTCATCCCATTGACTGGGGAGGCTGAAGCAGGAGGACAGCAAGTCCAAGGCCAGCTTCTGCAACTTAATGAGACCCTATCTCAAAACAGAAAATAAAAAGGGTTGGGGATGTAGCTCAGTGGTAGAGCACCATGGGTTCAATTCCTAGTAATACACACACACATACAATGGATTATAATATTAAAATTTAAAATTTCTACCTTTTTTTTTTTTTTGGTATGGTATTAGGGATTGAACTCAGGGCCTTGGACACACTAGGCAAACCCTTTCTACTTACTGCACCACATTCCTTGTCTTTTAAATTTTATTTGAAGACAAGATCTTGCTAAGCTGCCCAGGCTGGCCTCAAACTTGCAACTGTCCTTCCTTAGCCTTCTAGATAAAATTTTTATAAGTACATAACTTCCAAAGCTGATGACAATATAATATTGCCTCAAAATTTTAAATAGAATTTCCTCAATTGGATTAATAAAACATAATTTCAAACATACCACTTTAATAACACTTTCTTCATCAAATGTACTTGGCAAATCGGTCACCATCTCCTGTGCCAAAATTTCCACAGCTTTGGATTGCAGTCCATACTTCTGTACAAATTCTTCACTGGCCAAAATTGCTGCTGCAGCACCATCTGAAGTGGGACTAGAAGGAAGTAAAAATAAATAATTATTTATACCAGCACTACCTCAATTATAAGATTTGAGACTACACAAGAAGAAAGATCAAGTATTTTTGCTGGCCAGTGCACTATCTCTTTTATGATACTGACAGTTTAAAAAATCATTTATGCTGGAAGAACTGAACTTCCAGCAAGACCTTAAATGTTATCAGTCACTGCTTGGTCTCTAGAATATCTCCCAAAAAGTTTTCTTTGCAAAGAGTCCAGGATTTGCCCCTGCAGTTACATAAGGCACTGTTTGGTGATCTTCTGAAGACTGAGTACAAAGGTTATTTTATCTTAATACAATAAAGATTCTACTATAAGCCTAAGTAGTTCCAATGTTGCTACCTCTGAAATAGCTCAGTACAAAAATCCTTTCAGAAACTGGGAAAGGAGAAAACAAGGGGAAAGTCCATAGTTAAGACTCTTAGTTATAAGAGTCATAGTGAAGAAAATATCAGAAAGTCCATAGTTAAGACTCTTGAGATCTCCTCAAGAATATATCTTTTTTTCCTTAGAGCATGCTGTAAAGCTAGGTTGCAGACACAGGAAGCCCTCTGAGTTCAGCAGGGCTTCCTAAATGGGAAGACCTTCAGATTGCAACAGATAAAAGCTGGCCCAACTTGTTCACCCGCATCCCAGCCAGCATCTCCAAAGCAAAGCCAGGTGTATACAAGGACACAGGCAAGAACTATTCAACATTCACTCAATCTTCTAGGAAACAGATCACATCAGGCAGTTTGCAAGTTGCCAATATTATCATTATTAGAGCTATGATTTTTGTTTTACTTCTACTCTTAGCTACTATCACACAGTAAAATTTCCTGTATTAGAAGTCTATAGCAGGAAAAACAAAATGTTTAAGGAAAAAACCTCGGGACTCCACTAGCCTCCTAAGCCACATTTTAGTGAATAAATATAATTAAAACAACCAAAGTGGGCGGAAGTTAGGAGAGAGGGAAGAAGTAAAACACAGTTTTTCAAAAAAGGAGTCAGTCTGTCTCAGGGCAGGAATAGGAAGTGAGTATTCTAGTGAAGGACCCAAAATGGAACCACTTGTAGGAATTCTGTAAAATCTACACCCAGATACAAAGCCTAAGATTTAACCACAGAGAGGTGAGCAAGGAGAGGAACAGCTACATCTATCTATTAAATGTTAAAATGTTTTTTTCTTACCAACATTGTAAGACAGTCAAAAACTCAAAAATGCTTCGAGATGCCATCACTTCATCTAAACTGTATTCATCTTGAAATTGGGAATACCTAAATACAAAATAAGTAGTTACAAAATGTGAGGCAGCGATTACAATTTTTGTTGAAGATGTCTGGGTCCAGAGTTACAGAGAGAATAATCTGTGAATATTCTTTTCACAGCCAAAGACAAACTTTTATGAATAGTTTCAACCTTGAATAAATAATTTGAGCTTTATAAAAAAAATATCCCAACTCCAAAATATCCAAAAAAATTTCTGGACACAGAAGTTTGGTGAGACTTCCTAGTTGAGAAACACCTGATGTGCCAAAAGGTAAAGTTCCTTGTTGCCACAGGGAGAGGACATGAAAGTTCTGCATTGGAACCCTCCCAGACTCCACCCTACATGCTTCTTTATTTGGCTGTTCCTTATTTCTATCCTTCATAATAAAACTATAATGGTTACTAGAATGCTTTCCTAAGTTCTATAAGTTATTCAAGAGAATTATCAAGCCTGATGAGGTCATGGGAACCCCTGGATTTGTAACCAGTCAATCAGCGGTGTAGATGGCCTGTCCACCACCTGCAGCTGGTGTCTGAGGTGAGGGTGTTCTCATGGAGGATGGAGGCCTTAATTCATGCAGTCTGCATAAACTCCAAGTGGAGCATGGCAGACTTGAGTAGCAGTACACTCAGCTAGTGTTAGACCTGTTGAGGGTTAAAACAGAATTGCACAATTTTTGCTGGCAAATTATACAATACTGATTCCTTAAAAGCAAAATTAAATGATGTGCAACTCAACCCTCTTTTGTGGTGATACTATACAAGTACATTTAATAAAGGCTAATGGAGCTCTTAAGTATATGTAAGTTCTCCAAGTTCTAAAACTAAAACCTATAATAATTTTTTAATCTTTATTTTTCAGTTGGTCACAATATATTTATGTATTTTTATGTGGTGCTGAGAATCGAACCCAGGGCCTTGTACGTGCTAGGCGAGCGCTCTACCACTGAGCCACAACCCTAGCCCCTGTAATAAATTTTTGATTCTTAAAAAACATATTTCCTATGCCAGGCATCATGGCACACACCTGTCATGCAACTACTTGGGAGGCCAGGGCAGGAAAACTGCAAGTTTTAAGCCAGCCTTGGCAACTTAGCAAGTCCCTGTTTCTCAAAATATTTTTTAAAAGGTCTAGGGATGTAGCTCAGTAGTAGAGCTGTAGCCTAGCATGTATGAGGTCCTAGGTTCAACCCCTGTTTCTGCAAAACACACAAACAACAACTAAAAAACACATTACCCTTCCATGACTGCAAAGAAGAAATTTACTTTTATTCTCTTTGGCTTCTCTAACAATATAATCATATGGCTTCAAAAGCCACCCTGGAGAAGTAGTAGAAGAAAGTAAATTACAAAGGAGTTTATAAAAGCAAATGTCAACTCCTGGGGAAATTAACAAGCAATTCAAAATTTTAGAAAATAAACCAGTGGCACATGACTATAATCCCAGCTACTCAGGAGGTTGACACAGAAGGATCACAAGTTTGAGGGCTGCCTCAGCAATTTGTGAGAACCTGTCTCAAAAAAAATATTCTTTTTAAAGAGAGAGAGAGAGAGAATTTTTTAATATTTATTTTTCAGTTTTCAGCAGACACATCATCTTTGTTTGTATGTGGTGCTGAGGATCAAACCCAGGCCGCACGCATGCCAGGTAAGTGCGCTACCGCTTGAGCCACATCCCCAGCCCTCTCAAAAATTTTTAGAGAAGGGGAATTGACGATGTAGCTCAGTGATAGAGCAACCCTCAGTAACATACAAACAAAAAAAATTTTAGATGATAAAGCCTGCATAACTTAAGTTTATATACTAGTGTCTGCACTTTCACTTGCAGATGGAGTTAACAGTAAACCAACTTTCAAAAACCACCTTATTTGGGCCACATACTGTGCTAGGCACCAGGTACATGTTTATAATCCCTACCCTCAAGGAACTCAATATGATTCCATGGCAAAGAAATATATAATTCTAATATGTATAACAAATGTTATGATAGAAATGTTATATGGGGTGCTGTGGGAGCACAGACACACTTCATATATCAGAAAGTAAATAAGAAGTGGGGAAGAAAGAATTCCCAACAGAAGTAGCAGCACAGGCAAAGCCTCTCCAGGGAAAATGGTCTACCAGAGCAAGGACATAACGTGTGGAAGAGAATGTGGAAGCAAGGCAAAGAAGATGGGAAAAATGAACAGAGATTAAACCATGCAGCCCAGTTATGATGTTTACATTTTATATTGAAAACACTGAGTAACTACTAAAAGATAGTTAATCTGAAGTGTGACATGACCAGATCAGTACTTCTGCAAGAAGGCTGAGGCATGGGAAAGTGATGGTAAAAAGGCATTACCAAGAGCAAGTAAAGACTGGGGCAAATAATTAAGGTAAGAAATGAGGATCAAACCCAGGCCGCACGCATGCCAGGTAAGTGCGCTACCGCTTGAGCCACATCCCCAGCCCTCTCAAAAATTTTTAGAAAAGGGGAATTGACGATGTAGCTCAGTGATAGAGCAACCCTCAGTAACATACAAACAAAAAAAATTGTAGATGATAAAGCCTGCATACACATAGTTTGGTTGTCTATGTGTATAGACAGGCCCAGCAGCACATAGTTTGTAATCCCAGCAATATAGGAGACTGAGGCAGGAGGATCACAAGTTTAAGGCCAGCCTCAGCAATTTAGGGAGGCTCTGCCTTAAAGCAAAAAATAAAAAGAACTGGGTATATAGCTTAGTAGTAAAGCACCCCCGAGTTCAATTCCCTATACTGAAGAAAAAGGAAAAAAACAGGGGAGAGGCTGCAAACTGGAAATGAAAAATGGAGAGAAAGGATAAATTCAGAGATAGCAAGGGGGGCAAAATCTCTAGGACTTCAAACCACTACATATGGGACACTGAGGGGAACGGCAGATGCAAACATGACTTCTCATTTTCTATCTTGGATGACTAGGTGTATACTGATGTCATTTGCTAAGATGCAGAACAATGAAAGGGAAACAGGATTGAAGGGAAATGACAAATTCTATATGAACATGTTGATTCGTAGGCACCTGTGGGACATCTGAGGCGACAACCAAGGGAAAGTTATAGACACAGGTGTGAAACCTCAAGTGACACAAGCTATCTCTAATCCTTATCATCAATTCTCACTGTATTCTTATAATTGGTAAGAAAATGCTTGAGAACAATTTCTTAATTCAACCTTATATAGGAATATGTGCCAGAGTATCTCTAATGACTGGTCAGCAAGCCCAGAATTCTCTTTATCACTAGCCAAGTAAAACCGAATACAAGAAGTTACCATCTAAAATTTCTGAAACAAACCCAAAAGGCTCTTCTGGGCTGCTTCAAAGACTTTTTTTTTTTTTAGTTGTTGATGGATCTTTATTTTATTTATTTGTATGTGGTGCTGAGAATCAAACCCAGTACCTCATGCATGCTAGGCAAATGTTCTATCACTGATCACAACCCTTGCTTCAAAGAATTTTAAATGATAAAAATGACATCCAGTGGGTAGGGTTGTGGCTCAGCAGTAGAGTGCTCACCTCACATGTGTGAGGCCCTGGGTACTATCCTCAGAACCACATAAAAATAAATAAATAAAATAAGGATACTGTGTCCAACTACAACTAAAAATAAGAATAATAAAATTATATTCAGTAATAACATATGTCAACCTGGTGCAGTGGGCAGGAAGATGACAAGTTTTGAAGCCAGCTTCAGCAATTTAGCAAGACTTTCACAACTTAGTGAGACCCTGTGTCAAAAAGAAAAAGGGGTAGGGGACTGGGGATGTAGCTAAGCAGGAAAGATCCCCTGGGTTCAATTCCCAGCTTCCCCCCCTCCCAAAAAAAAAAAAAGAAAGAAAGAAAAAAGGAAATCTTTAAAGAAAGAAAAATAAATAATGTCTGCCTATTAAACATAATTGACAATTTATAATATGTAACAGAAGATCCATGGGAGCAACAAACTCATCTGTGTTATCACCAGTAGCTAGAGCAATGTCTTATATGTAGTGGGCTACTGAACATATATTTGTTGAAAAAAATTCCTTAAAAAAATATATAAAAAGTGGATAAATGAGTGCCTGGTCAGGCAAGTAATTAAGCCAAAGAAAGACTTAGAAGCTCTAATTCTTTGGGTAAAGTGAAGAGCTACTTTTTAAGCTTCAAACTGCAGTGCTATCAGAACCAATTCCTTATAGTTTCAGGAAATCACGAAGAGTTTTTATGATTTTCTAGTTCTAAATACAAAGAAAACCAATTCTAGATGGTTTATGGGCATATTTATGGGCATAAAACTGCTCATCCTAATTCTACTATTCAATAACCGCAAAGTTTCATTGCACATTTAAGTACCCTACTGGATCCTATAAACACCAAGATGAGACACATGGCTGCTTGAGGATCATCATCAGAAGAAGAAGACTCACAGGTAACTAAATGTGATGTGTCAAAACAGAAGTATTCAGAAGAGGCAATGAAGCTCTAAGAAGGTATTAAGAGAAGCAATGAGGGCTGTAGTTGTGACTCAGAGGTAGAGCACTCACCTAGCATGAGGGAGGCACTGGGTTCTATCCTCAGCATCACATTAAAAAAAATAAAAATAAAAATAAAGATATTGTGTCCACCTATAACTAAAAAATAAATATTTGTTTAAAAAAGAAGCAATGAGATTCAGGCTGAAATCTTTGAGATCTTACATTTGCTTTTTAAGTACAAAGTTGGATATTACACAATAGGATAAACCAGATTTCTTATAATCTCATATCTCTGAAATACTTACGGGTTATTAACTGAATGTTTATGATTTTTCCATCCAATTTTTGCAAAGTGTTCAGTTTTTGTTCCTGTGGAGAAAGAAAACATCTATTAGTGTGTTAATGTCTTTCTGCTGCTTATTAACAAGTGCTGCAATGGTACTTAGTGTTCTGCTGAATATTCCTACATTTCCCCCTTGCATAGATATCAGTATTTAAAACTTGAACATTGATCTTCACATATACTGCTTTGTAACTAAATTTGGGTATGTTTAATTAATTGAAACAACAAGAGGCATATGAGATAAAAATAATTCAAACTGGTCTATTCTCTTTAGTATAATGAAGAGTAAAATTTGAAAAACTATAAAATTATAGTCTAAAACCACAGTGGTCTAAGTCAGGAGAACATTGCAGCAATTCTAGAGTCTTCCAGAAACCCTGATGACCCTAGGGTTAGTGAACCACAAGTCATGCCCTCCAGGGCCTGATGAATACCTCATCATCAGGCAAAAGGTTCTTTAGAAGAATCACATGTATGCTTTTTAAATTCCTTAACAGAAAATGTGTAAATATATAACAGTGTCGAGAAAACAAGAGCAAGTACACCAATGAGGTAAAACTTGCAAAAATTTTCCTCTATAAAGAAGAAATGGAATTAAAATAGTATTTGAATTCTCCTTTGGAGTTGGAAAGGCCAACAAAAGAAAAAGTCCAGTGATTAGAATTGATGTCATGGATGGAATGGCATGGTAAAATAGAATGTCCCCATTTCTGTTTTATCTCTGTATTCTCCATCAAGGAGGAAGATTTTTCAGGCCAGAAATGACATACATATAATCAAGCACAACTTATACCAATTCTAATAAAAAGAGAAGAAAATAACACCAAAACAACAAATAAGCCAATCAGTGGGAACAAGGAACTGAACAGACACCTCTCATAAGATTTGAATTAATCAAAAAATATATGAAAAAATGTTCAACATACCTAGCAATTAGAAAAATGTAAATCAAAACTACTCTTAAGATTTCATTTCACTCCAGTCAGAATAAGTGTAGACGAGGATGTGGGGAGAAAGGCACACTCATACATTGCTGGTGGGACTGCAAATTGGTGTAACCAATATGGAAAGTAATATGGAGATTCCTTGGAAAACCTTGACTGGACCCACCATTTGACCCAGCTATCCCACTCCTTGGTCTATAACCAAAGGACTTAAAAACAGCATACTACAGGGACATAGTTGCATCAATGTTCATAGCAGCACAATTCACAATAGCTAAATTGTGGAACCATCCTAGATGCCCTTTAGTAGATGAATAAATAAAGAAACTGTGGTATATATACACAATGGAATACTACTCAGCATTAAAAGAGAATAAAATCACAGCATTTGCAGGTAAATGGATGAAGTTGGAGAATATTATGTTAAGTAAAGTAAGACAATCCTAAAAAACCAAATGCCAAATGTTTTCTCTGATATGAGGATGCTGATCCATAATGGAGATGGAGTGGGGGAACATGGGAGGAATGAAGGAACTTTAGATAGGGGAAAGGGAAGGGAGGGGACAGGGAGGAGGAAAGGTGGTGGAATGAGGGACATCAATACCCTAAGTACATGTATGAAGACACAAATGGTGATACTCTACTTTGTATACAATCTGAGACATGAAAAATTGTGCTCTATATGTGTACTATGAATTGAAATGCATTCTGCTGACATGTATAACAAATTAGAATAAATAAATTTTTAAAATTTTTTTTAAAAAAGAGAAGAAGATAGATTCCACATTGGTGATCTAATAACAATAAGAGTGGTGATATAGATGTCAACATGAGTTCAATTAAGGACAGGCCAAGCTGAGGGCAGTGGCACACTCCTGTAATCCCAGTGGCTTGGGAGGCTGAGGCAGGAGGATCCAGAATTCAAAGCCAGCCTCAGCAAAAGCGAGGCAATAAGCAACTCTGTGAGACCCTGTCTCTAAATAAAATACAAAATAGGGCTGGGAATGTGGCTCAGTGGTTGAATGCCCCTAAATTCAATTCCTGATACCCACCCCTAAAATAAGAACATGTTAATATCTTTTTGTGATTTAACTGAATGCTAACTGAAAGGAAACATCTTATCTATTAACAAGACAATTAACTAAGTTCTTCAAGACATCTTTTAACAAGAAAATACTGTAGTGTGGGTTTTGTTGTGTTTGTATTTTAATTATTTTTGGTTTTTTTTTTAATGAGGGTTCTTTTATCAAACAAGAATAGATTCTTTTACTAAGATATTTAGAGTCCTTACCATAGAATGTACACTGTGACTTCCCAAAGGAGGATTAACATAGAAAGCATTTCCCATGCTATCTGATCCATATCATGGTGCATCTTAGGAGCCTGGTGCCCCATGGAACACCAAACACAGCATTAATTAATGCCTCCATTTAAAGAAAAGCCCTAACCACTAACTTTAGCTGTGTTCTGATTAATTTTTCCAACTGAAACTGAATTAGAAGATTAAAATGACACTCACCAAATCTGAAGCTTGAAGGAAATGCTGTAATAATGAATCCAACTAGATTTCAGCAAGATTTATCAGTGGAATGGACCAGAATATAAATTAAATGCCCAGTTCTATTCTTAAGCCTCCCCCTACCCCCCCCCAAAAAAAAAGAGCCCTGGGAAAAGGAACAACTATGAGACACACTCTGAGGTTCTGAGGTTCTGTTCAACTACAAGCTCCATGAGATTTAACAGAATGATGTGGCTACCAGAAAGGCTTACATATGGTCACGGCATGGAAATTATGTGATGGGTCATGAAACAGATCTAATAGAGACAAGAGAAGAGGCTAAATTCAGCAGAGTTAGGCTGGCTTCATATATTTGAAAAGGCTTCTGTGAGTCTCAGAAGATAGAAAGAAGGCCATAGGTATAAACTACAGGTGAGAGATTTAGGTTTGGGGAGGAGGGTGGTAAGGGAGAAAGGAAGAAGGAGGAAGGAGAGAGAAAGGAGAAGGAAGAAGTGAGAAGGAGAAGAAAAGAAGCACTGTTATAACTGGAATCACCCCAAAAATGAAATTAGTAACCTCAGCTGGTTGAAAACTTACTTGTTATAGGGAGCACAAATATTTTATTCTCTCGGAAGATTCACAAGCAATTCATGCATGGATTGGTAGGAAGAAAGGCTGCTAAAACTATATAAAAGCACTGGGCATAATATCCAATCCAAGAGATATTCAGTAAGTGCTGATATCTTTTCAGTCTTTTTCTTTCTATGGGATCCAGTTAATCTATAAAACACCCCATCCCCTTGAAAAATATTCTGCTAGTTACTTATATATTTTGTAAGCCAAGGCACTAATAATAAAGGGCTTGTTAATCACTGATTCAGAACTGTCAATTAAGAGTTCTAGCTGTTCAAAGGCCTAGTATAAAAAGATTTCAGTCCCCTTTAGTCAAATTATGAAGCACAAAAGTATGCATATTCTATCAGTTGGTAGAGTACTTGCCTCGCATGCACTACAAAAATAAATAAATAAATACCTGAAAAAAAGTGTGCATATTCTAATGACTTAAGCTTCCACAAACTTTCTTATATATTTATTCAGAGTGTACATTCATAAACAGCAATTTCAAATGGTAACTTAAATACAATAAAATTCTACAATTCATTTGGAAATCTGTTAAAAAACAATATTTCAACTAAAATAATACATATTTTTATTTCAAATTTTGGTGTAGAAAAATTTCCAACTAATCCAAGTAATGTGAAACTTGAGAAAATATCTTTTTTTTTTCATTTTTAAACAGCCTACTTCAATTTTAGCTCTAGTGACTCCACATATAAAATATGAATGTATTATTGCTCACATACCTCATTTGAATAACATTAATATTTTCATATTGTTCAAATATATAACATCTAAGTTTTGTTCTGTAACTTCAGGTCAAAGTTGGGTTAATAATTTTGCATACAACTACATTCAATGTGCCTCATGGATTATGGACTCCACAGCGTTTATTTCAATTTTTTTGTTTTCTCATTAATGCATGGTTATCCTAATATTGAGGTTCATTTTGACATAAACATATATACATGGAATTTAATTTGCTCCACTTCAGTCCCCAGTAATTTGCTCCTCCTCTCCCACCTCCCCTGTTTTCTCTCATTTATCTTTTTTAAAATTTTTGGTTTGTTAAATATGACAACAGAATGCATTACAATTCTTATTACACATATAGAACACAATTTTTCATATCTCTGGTTGTACACAAAGTAGAGTCACATCCTTCTTACATGTACTTAGGGTAATGATGACCATCGAATTCCACCATCTTTCCTAACCCCTATGTCCCCTCCCTTTCCCTCCCTCCCCTTTCCCCCTTTGCCTTATCTATAGTTCATTTAATCCTCCCACCACCACCCCTACAGCATATTATGGATCAGCATCCTTAAATCAGAGAAAACATTTGGCATTTGGTTTTGGGGGATTGGCTAATTTCACTTAGCATTATATTCTCCAGCTTCATCCATTTACCTGCAAATGCCATGATTTTATTCTCTTTTAATGCTGAATAATATTCCATTGTGTACATATACCACAGTTTCTTCATCCATCCATCTACTGAAGGGCATCTAAGTTGGTTCCACAGTTTAGCAATTGTGAATTGTGCTACTGTAAACATTGATGTAGCTGTGTCCCTGAAGTACACTGTTTTTAAGTCCTTTGGTATAGACCAAGGAGTGGGATAGCTGGGTCAAATGGAAGTTCCATTACCAGTTTTCCAAGGAATCTCCATTCTGCTTTCCATATTGGCTGCACCAATTTGCAGTCCCAACAGCAATGTCTGAGTGTGACTTTTTCCCCATATCCTGGTCAACATTTATTGTTGTTTGTATTTTTAATAGCTGACATTATGACTGGAGTGAGATGAAATCTTAGAGTAGTTTTGATTTGCATTTTTCTAATTGCTAGAGATGTTGAAAATTTTTTCATATATTTGTTGATTAATTAATTAACCTTGTTAATTAATTAATCAACAATTAATTGTTCAGTTCCTTGATCCACTTATTGATTGGGTTTTTTTTTTTTG